CCACAGCGATGGGGGACATCGGCATACCGCTTGTTGATTTGAGTCACCTTAAAAAATTTCAGCTTTTCAAGCAAACCTCAGGCGATTCTGTACAACTAAAAACAAACGCCTCTTATTGCGCTACCTATCAGAACCTACCAGCTATCGTGGTCATGGTGGATTGTCATAGGTGGAGGATTTTAAGCATCAACGTTTTGTTCATGAGCTGAGATGGATCAACAGATCTGGGTCTCGTCCTCTTGTAAGTCAAGTTTATAAAGCACATTTAAAACTGCAGACGTTACCAAAGTTCTTGTAAGAGCGCAAGAGCATTGAATTAGACGGTTGTGGTGAAGAAAGAGTTGAGTCGAAAGGCAAAGCTCTTGATTTACTAGTTTGGCTATGTTCCACAAGGAGTTTCAACATGTTTGAGCAGAGGGTGGTTCATAAGTGTACTTTGTACCAGGCAACCTTAGGTCAGTGGTCTATGATTGATTTTGTAATCATGACGTCGGACCTGCAGCCATACGTCTTGGACACGTGGGTGAAAAGAGGGGCAGCGCTTCCAACTGATCACCACCTAGTGGTAAGTTGGATCCGGTGGCAGGAGAGACTGCTGGACAGAGCCGGTAAATCCAAACGCATAGTGAGAGCGAATTGGGAAGCGTCTGGTAGAGCCCTCGGTCCCTACGGCTTTCAACTCACACCTCCGGGAGAGTTTTCCACGTCCCATGGGAGGTTGGGGACATGGAATCCAATCCGATCTCTATTGTAGATGCAGCTTCCAAGAGCTGTGGCCTGAAGGTCACTGGTGCCTGTTGGGGCCATGGAATGGAAAAGGACATTCGGTCAGCCTTGAGGAAGTTCTAATTGTTTGGCGACTCAGAAAAGGAGAGCGGACCCTAGCCCAGGCTGTGCTTGGTTTGGGTGGGGAGTTGTTGACCCCGACTGAAAATATTGTTGAGCGGTGGAAGAAGTTTTCTTTATTTTGTAGAAGTTTTTTCTTCTTCTTTTGGCTGCTCCCTACTTCAGGGGTCGCCACAGCGAACTATCTCGCAATAAGACTTGGCGATTGTTTTTACGCCGGACGCCCTTCCTAATGCAACCAGTCTACTGGTTCAACTCAACTTTGACCAAACTTGGTATATTTAATCACATATCAATGGAAACTTTTACAAAAAGCTTAACAAGATATTCAGAGTACATAGCTATATTTAGACGTGGTTACTTGGCCTTGTGGTGTAATCTAACACACCATCAGTAAGCACTTTAAACCACAGGTTCTTGATAAGACTAGATTGAAAACAATAAGAATTCTGTTAGCGGTGTAAAAACGACAATCATTTGTTTTGTTAAAGATTTGTTGCTTAAAATGAAGTACTGTGAAAAATTCAAATGTTGGCCAAGTAACAGTGCTCCTGAGTTTGTTTCTCCTGCTCGAAACAAACTCAAATGTTCCGTTAGAGCATTCTTGTGTCAGTGGGAAAGATAAAAAAATTAAACTCATTCTTTGAAGACATCTTTAAACGCCCATATAGAACATAATGGATGAAAATATGACTTTAAAGTGACTGTACAACTTTTTCATCACTTCCTATCTGGCAACCCTGAGGCAGCAGGAACCATTTTAGCTGCCACGTGATTTTGGAACCAGAGTCTGTGCAGTGGAGGTGTGGGGCTCCTCCCCTGCACGCCGTCATGGTCTTACACGGGTGTCTAAAAGCATTAAATACCTACAGCTAAACGTGGCAGTAATTCATTTCATCCACTCAACCTTTATTTAGACAGGTTAATCCCATTGATATAATATAAATGAAATATAAAGAAATATAAATTATCTCCTAGGTGTACTTGGAGTTTTGGTCCCGTTTTGGATTTGTCTTCCGGATACCTTAGTTTTTGGCCGTAGTTAGCTTAGCAGTATGAGTCAGACTAATCAGGTTCCACTAATTTGCTAACGGTTATTAGCAAAACTAATTTTTCCATTTAGCAGATTAGCATTTTCATTAACTGGAAACCATTATCAGACTAATTAGCTTCCGCTACACTCCCTCGTTTATCGCGGGTGTTGCGTTCCAAAGACCTCCGCGAGAAGTTAAAAATACTAAAATAAATATCGTGTTACTACTTTGCGCTTTTTATCTATATTTTAAGGCTTTATAAACCCTTCCCACACTCTTGCAATGTTCTAAACTCTTAAACCCGTGTAACTTTAACAACATACGTAGGCCTAGCAGTAGCTGCTGTACAGTATACGTTTTATATGGGGACTCACCAGCTCTGCAGAAGCTCGGTTCCGTTCGGTGACCCTGCAGCACGAGTAAGGCCACCGCCTCATCCAGCTTGATGAGCGTGTGCTGCCACTCCAGGAAAGACACTCGGCGAGCAAGGCTGCCCAGGATGTAGTCCACCACCTCAGTCCAGTCCGGACTAGCACCGCGTGACCATAGCCAGGTCGAACCCCGCCGCGGTCAGTTCTCTACAGCCCCGAGCCAGGTCGCACTGAGTCCGGATCAACTGCAACCCAGTTACTCACCAGTGAAGATACAACTGGAAGGATGAGTTCAGCTTCAGGATTTGCCACTGTCCTGCCAGTTCTGTGAGCTTCAGAGATCGCGTAGATTTGCAAAAAAAAAAAACGTTCCCTCCATTTTAGCAGAAAGCAGCGTCTGGAAGCACTGTTGGCTTCTGGGTAACGTAGTTCTTTTGACTGGCAATACAGTGTAGGTTTATTGAAAGAAATTGGAAAATGGCGGCGCCTGTCCGAAGTATTTATTTATTAACTTTTTATCTCGTACAGTCCCAATCACGTGAGAAATATTAAAGTTGACAATCACTGAAAAACCGCAAAAGAGCGAGTCCGCAAAAGTCGAACCGCGGAGTAACGAGGGACTACTGGTTTTGCCGACTTTAAGTCCGCTAACAAAATCCACAAGTTTGTTTCCGTCGGTTGTGGGCGTGTCTCGAAGAGTTCGTTAAACACGCTATTGGCTGACTGCATGAACACGTGAGAAAACGGGATTGGTCGACGCAGAAGCAGCTAGCTAAACGAAGACGTGCGATGCAAACTGACACTTAGCTATTAGCTTACGCTAATATTTTACTTGTTCAGCGGTTTAGCGTTAGCAAAGCAAAATTTTGGTTAGCTGTACCCACCACTGGTTTAAAAAAAAACTTATTTCAAGACCTGTACCAGCAGAAATGAACCCCACTTTGAACCAAACTATATATTTTTTTATTTATTATCATTTTCTTCTATTTGACTACTATGGGAGTTCTGTTACTGGAATAACTGCAAAATAACATTCAAAATATTTTATCTGAAGCAGCCAAAGTGCCTTTTTTATTTATTTATTTTTTAACTCCAGCTCTAGCCTTCTCAATAAGAGTCCCACACACAAACATTGAGTATTGATTACTAGATACTCTCAAAATATATGAAAACCTCTTGATTTTTTTATGAAAATAAACAATGAGAGTTATTTTACATGAGCTGCAGGTGCTTAAAAACAGGCTTTATTTTAAAAATAACCGTTCGGTATGTTTGAAACTCTTATTGTGAAGGATTAAAATAAGTTATTTGCCCTAAATACGCGTAAATGTCTCCTGGGTAGCGGTTCCATTTTGTTTAGATATTTGGTATAATGTCTCCGTTATAATAAAATCTACAACCATTCTAGAGTCTGTGGTTTGAATTTAAAAAGAAAAAATAATAAAGGATGAAACATTAAACCTTGTGCAGGTTGATAAAACGTGTAGACAGCGCCCCCTGGTGGTCAATGAAAGAACACTTCTAAAAGCTTATGAGAAAGTTCTAATAATTCACATCTGTTCCAACTTTTTCATTTAAATTCAGCACATTCTTCAGAAATAACATGAAATAAGACAATATTTAGATTTTCTGCAGAGTTTCTAAATGTTCACCAATGATTTCGTGGTTTTGAGACATCCTAAAAGTTTGTGCACGGCGAGTCTAAAAAGTGTGTATTCATAAAGCGTCTTGGGTTGGGACCGCTGATCAGGGGTCAGTTGATGGATCACACAGTTTGAGCAAAATAATTCATTTGGTGACGTTTAAGGAAACTGGAACACGACTGGTGACTCAGCTCAGAAGAATCCCCGTAAAATAAAACATTCAGTGATAAGAACCGCAGCGTTCTGCACCATCACCACCAGTAACAGACCCTTGGATACATGGTCTGTATTGACTTTATGCAGACAGAACCAGAGCTTTGCCAGTGGATCAGTAGTAACAGAACATTTTACAAGATCTGCACAAGCGTCCAGACCCAAAGACCTCGGGGCTCTCTCTTGTAGACGCCTCAGCTCCATCTAGTGGTGGACACTAGAAACCATTCGTCCAACTGGAGCCTCCAGAACCAGAACTATTCGGTCAAACTCAAATATTTGGTCGGTGGTTGAACGAGGTTTCTTCAGCCCGCACGCAGGTGGAACGTGTATGCACTCGTGCACAGCGCATGTGTTTTTGCCCTTTACATCTGAACCAGAACAGCTTTGTCAGTAGATGGGAGGCGGGACTCCAGCGCAACGTCCAGCCGTGACGCACGCACTTCTTCCAGGTTTCATCCTCTTTTGTGACGATTACAGCGTCCCTCAAATGGAAATGTGGAGCAGTACCCTAATGGGTTAATATAAAATGGAATAAGAAAAAAAGAATGTATAAAATATATAAACACACCTAAATATCGCTGAAAGGATTGCATTATTTTATGGGATGAAAAATAAGGAATCGGATGATGCATTTATAATGGGATTTCAATATGGTAATTTTTCCCCCGACGAGCATCAGCAACGATACTGTGAGGTCATTTAAAACTATTCTGACAAAGTAAAAAACAATGAATTTGGTTTTGTTTATTAACCAAAAAAATAACGATTCACGTCACGATTTTTAAATTACCCCTGTAGGTTTATTTCGGCCACTTTTGTGTCCACGTAAACAAACAAACAAAAAAAACAGTATTCCCATTTCTTTAATTGCAAACAACAAGTACACGTGAAAGTGGCAGGCTTTTGAACTTTATTGGCAATCTTTTTTTGCAACATCCGTCATTTTAATTCCAGTTACAACAGATAAACACCAACAGAGCATCTTGAGACACCTCTTTAATTATTCGTATTTACAAAGACAAACGTGTACTTGTAGATTCACGTGAAGCTCTAACGCAGTCAGGAGGGTCAATCATGCAACACAGCGTCATTTCATCCAAAGGTCCTGATATTGCTGAGGGACACAAGGTTTGGCAAAACACTCGAGCTGTCACAGTTTAGGTTAAAAACAAAAAAACAAACGGGTTTTTGTTTGGGGGACAAATAATTGTGCAAAAGGCAGATTATCCATTTGAGATCATTAATAATTCCAGTTTAAAATAATAATAATAAAAAAACTTGGATGGCTAAGATCGCTTTACTTTTCTACCCCATCAAGTTTAGCAGATTCACAAATTTTACTGTACAGAATGTCAAAGTGCAAATATTAAAAATTAGCATAAGCTCATATATACATTTCATTTGACGACACCCCCCCTTGTCTGGGGGAGGTCCTTATTTCAGGCTCCGCTCACGGAAATTCCCACGCCGACGTCGTTCTTGATCATCGGAGCTGCGTCGCCACGAGAACCTTAACCCCCCCCCAAGTCCCAGAGAGAGATCCGCGAGAACATGCACAGCAGCTAGGTGCACTTGTTCCTTCAACGGGCCGAACCAGAACCGGATCCGTCTGCGGTGACTGGACTACATCTACGTCATCGTTACGCATCAACGATTCAACACGGCCGAGTAAATTGCATAAGACTCTTACACTCCGAGGAGGTTCTTTATTTAAAAATAAAGCCTGGCACGGTCCTTCAGTTCGGACATCGCTTCTTACGGACGGCACCGGAACTGAAGTGGACCGTGTCGGGCCCGGTTTCCACCTGGTAGGACCGGAGAAGCCTGAAGACACGGTTATATCGGATCGCTTGGAAGATTTAAGTGAAGCGTGAGTTCGGATTTTTTTTTTTTATTATACATAATCCAGTTTTGTTAGTCAGGTGCGTTTCTTTGTCCTTAATTTTTCTTTCGATTCAAAACGAGAAAAGGGGAACCAGTACATTCCTCCTACCGTAAACCATTAAGACCAGAAGCTGCTTAAAGCTGGTGGTCTTAAAGGTTTGAAAAATAGCACAACGAATAAATAAATTAGGAGAAAAGACACTTGGACGATACAAAATATTGATGTTTATTAGCATTTGTATGGATTTATGTTTCTTTTCAACACACGTAAACCTGCAGACAGTTTACTGGTTATTAGTAAACCCCCAACTGATCCAACTGGGTTTCCTACAGAAACCATTTTGAATGTGTGATTTCACGTTTGGGGTCAATACGAGTAGAACCGGGCTGTTTCGTTTGAGAACAACCAAAGCATCAGGGATGCGTGTTCTGTATCAGTCCCGGGTTTTCGTGGTTGATCCCGCCGTCTGACAACAAAACAAAAAACACTGTAAAAATCAAGACTCGAAAAACGCCCCGAACCCTGACGACGGCGGACTCGTGAAACCAGCTGGTTTAACCGTTTTTAGGTCCTTGAAGCTTTTTGCGTTTAGCGTGCGAGTTCATTTACCTGAATTCTTCTGCTTTTGATAAGCGACACAAACTGGATGAGGGAAAACAGCACAAGGTTTAAATCAAAAGGCAAATTAAAAAAAAAGCGGTTCCAGGAAATCATCCGAGACCGAAGTGAATCGAGTTGTTTCAACGACACTTGCGCCCCACTTCTCTCCTTCCCCGTTACCTCTCTCCGCTGTTCGGCTCCTGGGGCAGGTCATACGAGGGCGAGGGAAGGAACTTTAAAGCCGTTTTGTAGGGAACCCTGGAGAAAGAGGCATCGGTCACTACAACGAGCTGCTGCGCTCGTCGACTCGTAACGGTTTTACCAAAACGTACCTTTAATAGAGGAAGAAGAGGCGCGTTCTGTGAGACGAGGCCATGTTCTCCGACATGTTGCGAACTTTGAGGTAGTTCACAAACCCCCTGAAGAACAGCAAGAGGCCTGTGCGAGGACAGTCATTAGGTTCCTTTCAGAACGGAGACCCCCATCAAATTGAAAACGTAAATGCACAAAGGCAGGAATGAACCCTGCGCTGCACTCACCCAGCAACAGGAAGATCCACCAGAGCCAGTACTGGCCGTTGAAGTAACCGGTGAAGTAGTCTGAGAACTGAACACAGGCTGAAACTTACACGAGCCGACACCCAAAGAAAGGTCTTGCATTAATAAGAAGCCGGCCGCAGACTTACTCGGACTATGAGGATCCATTTAATGAGGGAAAGGCCGAAGCCGCAGATGGCGCCGTAGCGTCCTGCGATGGTGTTCGTCAGACAGAAGGACAGGCAGAAGCCGATCCAGTTGAACAAGAAGGCCACTAGAGGAACGAGCACACGAGAATATTTAGCTGTTAGAAACGCCCCGTCGCGCATCAGAACACGTTTACTGAGCGTGTAAGACCAGGTCCGTCTTGTAAACGAGTCCCCGAGGCTCAACGGGTTCTCGTCCCGCAGTTTCAACAAACCAAGAACCTAAACGTTCGGCTCCTTCGGGACAATCCTGCTGAGACTTTTGGTATCAGTGCAGCTTTAGCTGTTTAAAATATTTAGCCTTTTCTGACATTTTGTTTCCAATAGAAAATGAATTGAGCTCATTTTACCTCCTTCAAATCTCTAGATGTGTTCACAACTTTTTACTGCTCCTTTCACATTTTGTTCTGCTTCAGCTGCAAAATCAAACTTTTTAGCTACTTTCAGCTGTTTTTTTTAAGCAGTTTTGTGCTTCTTTCTGATAAATACAACATTTTTGTGCTTCTTCTAACTTCTTTCTGCTAATTTCAGCTTGTTAGGCTCCTTTCAGCTTATTTCTGCGTTTCAGCTTTTTCAGCTAATATTTAGCTGTTTCACACCAATTTCAGCCTTTTAAGCTATTTCCACATATTTTGCACTCTATTCAACTTTTTTCAGCCTAATTCAGCAACAACGTGCTCTTTCCACTTCCACCTAGTAATTTAATCTTTCTGATTTTTTTAGCTGCTTTTCGGCCATTTAATTTTTTTTTTACAATTTCAGCTTTTTTCAGATAATTTGCAGTTTTTGTGCTCATGGGCAAACGTGTTCTTTCTGCTTTCTTCTGCTAATTTAAGCTTTAGCTTCCCTTTAAGCATTTTCTTTAGCTGTATTCAGATAAATTCCAAGTTTTTCATGCTATTTTTTGCTACTTTCAACCTAATTAAATTCTTCATGGTAATTTCAGCTTATGCTCTTATCGGTTTTTTTCTGCTAGTTTTACCTTTTTATGCTACTTCAGCTACTATTTAACTGTTTTATGCTAATTTTAGCCTTTTCGGCCAATTCCACATTTAGCTAATTTCAGTTCTTTCCACTTCCTTCTGGTAGTTTAAGCTTCTTTATGCTTTTTCAGCTATTTCTTGTTCATTTCAGCTTTTTTTTATTATTATTAGTAAATTTACAATTTTTTGTGTTAATTTCTAATTATTTAAACCAAATTCAGCAAATATGTACTCCTTCTGCTTTCTTCTGCTTGTTCAATCATTTCAGCATGTTTTTAGCTTCCTTCGGCTGTTCTTCAGCAAGAAGCATCCACACGGCTGTTTTGCAGGAACTGCAGAGTCCCTAATTAATTTTACCGTTAAATAAAGTCCCGGTTGTTGCTCAGAATACGCCACCGTCGTCCACTTCAACAACAGAAAGACCGAACTTACTGAAAAACGCCAACATGAAGATTCCATCGTTCCCAACTCGGAGCTGATCGGCATCACTAAAATCTTCTCTGGGTGAGAAGTCGTCCTCCTGCGGGTAAATGAAACGAGCACACGGCACGTCACGCGCTCGTCGACATACAATGCAACGATTAAATCTATGGAATGGACCGGACGGGCAAAGACCTCGTGTGACCTTTGACCTTGAAGCGGCGGTGATGGAGAGTCTAGTCATACAAAACCACTAACCGCTTACTCAGCGTGTTGTGTTCGATAACATTTAGAAGTTGGATACGTGGAAAAGTTGCTAAAACAAAGTCAGACGGAAAAAAAAATTCCACTGGTGTTTCATGGGACGGTGGAGCAGCGTGAACGCTGCGTCACGCCACGAGGAAAGACGAGCAGCACTGAAACATTTCAGCTGCGCAGTCGGAGACACGACGACAGGTGGGCGGGTCTTCTTACCCGGGGCAGCACTTCCACTGTGGAGGCAGCTATGGCGGCCGCTTTGGCCTTCTCAGCTTCGTCGTACGTGGGCAGGGACGTGGCGACGCTGTAGGGCGGCGGTACTGGGAAGTCCCCTTGGAAACTGGTTTCTGTGGAAAACACAAACAGGATTAACCAAAGCCACGTGTTGGAAACGTTCACACGAGCTACGAACTATACCAGGTGACGCAGCGGTGGCACCCAGGTCAACGGAGGCGTAAGGAGGTGGGGGCGCCTCTCCCGATGACGCAGCGGGGGTCACGTTGGACTCCGCTTGACTCTGGACCTGCCCGGACGCACGGGCTTGAGCTGAGGTGCACGGCTGCTGCTCGCTGCCAGTGGACGAGTCGTCCTCGTTGTGCAACTGAAACAGAAGAACGATAAACGTGACCACCGGCCAGGTGTTGCACATCTGTCCCGAGCTGGTCTGAACCACCGGCCAGGTGTCGCACATCTGTCCCGAGCTGGTCTGCACCACCGGCCAGGTGTTGCACATCTGTCCCGAGCTGGTCTGCACCACCGG